TCTCTATTTCCCGTTTGTCCTCCTGGCCAACACTACTAGAAGGGAGAAGACCCTTTGGAGACCAATTTTTTTGGTTCTGTGTTGGTCTGTTTGGTTGGAGCACATAATAGAATCTTTGAAGGCAAAGTTAGCAGAATAGAGTTGATGATGGGGAACGTGGAAAGCTATATCCAAGCAATTTTCAAGGTCTTACATTTAAACACTTCCGATTTCATTAGAAGCAGATAATAGCAAAATGATTTTGCAGTGTGAGCTGGTCTTGTAGAGGAGTATAATTTTGAGAAAAGGTAAAGTATATGGTATTGTATTAGTATCAAAGATATATATCCTGTACAATGAGAGGCTGTGTAGATATAAAACCAATTAGGAACCCACCCTAAAAAAAGATGCAGAAAAGACATCATCTTTCAATACATTAGATATTAACATCTTTCAATGTTTAAGAACCCATCAGTTTCTGTAGAGCTGAGGTCTAGTCTTTTCCAAAAGTTGCAACACATCTGGTAAGGCTTTCTACATTTCAATCATCAACATCCCTTCTGAGCCGGGGAACCCAGATTTTCTGGTCTGCAACAGTCTCTTAACAGTCACTAATCTTGGCATCTTTATCCCAGGCTAAGGCAAAAATGTATGGAAATGCGTGACACATTGGCAATTTGGCGTCACATCACACCACTTTCCAGAAGCAAATGTTTTCACTGTTCCTGACTTTAAAGAGGACATGTTTGAAGAAGACTTCTTTGTTTTTGCATCACTCCTTTCCAGAGGCCTGTACCACAAGGTTCATTAATGGAGTTTGTTTTCCATCCCTGACCAGACTGCCCATACTTGTTCTTTATCAACACCCCCCCAAAATTCTGACTTTTCCGCCCCAAACCTCCACAACCACTTTGATAACAAGGCTATGTTTACTTGCTTTAGTGGTCTAATGCCCACACCCCCTTGATGTCTTGGCTTGCACACATCCTTCCGAGCAACCAAGTGGAACTTCTTTTTATCCTCTTCCTCATCCCAAAGAAAGTCTCTTCTAAGTTTTTCAAGGTAGGTGAGTAGGTAAAGTTGACAGCACACTTTGAATAAGAGTAATCTTCCCTCCTTCCGAAAGGTACCTCTTTTTCCGCCGGGCTAGCTTGTGTCTGACCCAATCAATCACTGGATCCCAAATATCTTGACTTGTAATTTTCCCCAAGAGGAAGTACAAGAAATTTGGCCAGGAGGGATCCAAATCTACAGCCCAAAACAGCTGCGAGTTCTTCAATGTTAGGTACCTCACCAACAGGAATCAATTCACTATTATGCAAGCTAATCTTGAGGCCTGATGCAGCCTCAAAGCAGATTAAAAAGACCAAAGCACCATTGGACATGGTTGTAAGCTTTATCCATATCTAATTTCACCCAAAATGTGTGCTTTAAGCCTTGAGTCAAAGCACTCGTTTTCCACTAGGGATCTGTCTAGAATTTGTCTCCCATCCACAAAGGCTCCAAGGGATGGAGAGATGATGGAACCCAGCACCCTTCTTAATCTATTGCTAGTACCTTAGAGATCACCTTGTATAAGCTTCCAATCAGGCTTATTGGCTGGTAGTCCTTAATGCCAGCCACCCCTTTCTTCTACGGGATTAAGGATATAAAAGTGGTTTTTGCTGCTTCAAACAGGTACACAGTGGCATGGGAATCCCAGCACTTCTTGTATAAAGGTATGGGGAAACCATCTGGCCTTGGGGCGTTTGTCTCCTACCAAATCATTCATGGTTTGCAAAACTTCAACCTCTTCAAAGGGCTTCTCCAGAAAATCAGCCTCATGATCAGAGATCTAAGAAAAGGAAATGACATCCAGCTTTGGTTAATGACATCATTTGCTGCAAATAAATTTTTATAGAACCTAACTATAGCCCGAGTTGCCTCCTTTTCTCCGTCATAATGGATATTGCCAATGTCAATCAGGTTTGTAGTGTTACACCTCTGTCTTGTGCTTGCCATCTTATTGGGAAAAGGATGTATTGCTATCACCAGCTTTCAGCCACTGGATCCTAGATCTTTGCCTCCATTGGATTTCTTCCATGTCGGCTAGACTACAATACTCCTCCTTTGCCAGCTCCCATTGCTTTTTGCCACCACCCTAGCAAAAAGGTTGACTTTTTAAAGGGGCAGCAGTTCCCCACATAGCTTTAAGGGAAATTCTGCCTTTGCTCTTCAATCAGGCCCTTGTAGAATTTCACTGAAAATAAACCTGAATTTTCCCATTCCCAGCTTCTTCAGTCCTCAGAAAGTAAGTCTAGTTGCTGGTTCTGGATCAAAGAGAGGAATTCATCCACTTGTTCCAGTTCCCAATCACTGAAGTTTCTTCTAAAAGCAGGATTGCACTACCTTGTTCCCCTCTAAATGATAACATTCTCCAGCCTTAGCTTGTTTGTTTTCATCAATATTGAAGTGTAGTGGAAATCTGTCTCCTAGATGTCTGTCTTTACACCAAGGGTCCAACCAAAATCTTAATTTGATTCCATCATCTACCTTGTATTTTACCCCTTTAATAAACTGTGGGTGGCTTTGTAAATACATTTCCACACACCACACCCATAAGACCAATGGGAGCCTTCTGCTTCCCCACCCAGTGACACTGGTTCCATACTTTCAAGCAATGATAGTTCTCCACAATTCAGTTTGTTCAGTTGAGAATTTCCAAAACCATCTTCCCAAAGTGCTATATTAAACTGTTTGACCTTTCTAATTCCCAAGCCACTGTGAGAAAAAGGTTTGCAGTTCTCATCTCAGTTGACCAAGTGGTTCTTGGAGGAGTCCTTCCAACCCATCCAAAGGAAATCTCTCACTTTTTTTTTTCTAGTCTGCCTGCCACCTCAGAAGGAATTGGGAAAAGGGACATGTAGAAAGCTTCGAGGGCTGCCAAAATACTCTTTATTAATCAATTCATTTTGTTCATTTTGTACATAAGCTGAAAAGGCAATCAATATATGAAACAGCTAACACCATGTAATTACATATTTGAGGAAAGTTCTCCCTCTAATTAATACAATATCCATTTGGCCTATCCAAAAGATAGGATATGAAGTACAGAATAACAAGAGACAGTGAAAGTTCATATAGGAGCAGTAAAGAAAAATGAGGGAGATGGCAAGGTGCCAACCATCTGGTTGGTAAGGTTTCCTGCTGGTTGTAGCAGAGACTTGGGATCGAATCCCACCAGCACCTGGGTTGGGAGGTTATGGGTTTGGGGATGGGCTACCCCCTGTTGTGTAGCCCTTCAAAAGAAATCAAAACAAGAAAAAGAAAAGAAAATGAAGGAAATGAGAGAAAGATATGGATTAAAAGAAATGTCAATTTTCTGCTAGATTTTTTTATCTGGAATTTGACCACAAAAAAAATTATGAAATTTTGGCCAGATTCTGGTGCAAAACCATGTTGTAACTTATAGCCTATTTGTAAACCAAAACTCAAAACCTTGATTAAAAGTAATCTAACCAAAACAAGTTTCAATCCATAACACCTCCCAACATACAGGTAACTGATTTATGTTTTTTTTTGGATCAATAACAGTAATTTTATTAAAAGAGATAGGTAACTGATTTATGTTATCAAATTGATGTAACATTAATCAAACTTATATTGGAGAGGAACCCAAACATTACCTGAATTGCTTTGTATGTCTCATCTGAGCAGATTACCTGTTTGTATTGGTACAATTTCCTTTTATCAAAGCAAACAACAATAACAACTTCCCAATTTTTTTGACCAAGCTGGCCCAAGCGCCAAGGCACTGTGACCTGGAGAGAGAACACATTCCCAACATATTATCTTGACCCACCAACCTGATAAAACCAACAACTCCAAGCATTTGATTTTACGGCCCTTCTCTTTGGTTGGGCAATGAAAGCTTCTCATAGAGAATCAACCTTTGGAATGTATTCCTCCATCTTCATCTCCTCATTCAGCAAGTCAATAACCTGGCAAATTTCTTGTGATCCAAGGCATACAGCGTCACCTGAACGAAATTCACGAACTTCATTTTCAACCTCAATCCAGCTACAACCAGGAGTCTTGGTGACTCCTTTCTCTCTCATCAATCCTCTCATCCTTGCTGAGTCATCCCACCTCTTCGAGTTTGCGAATAATTTTGATGAGATAATATAGTTTCCAGAGTTTGATGGCTCCAACTCTAGAAGAAGGTGCATTACTTGTTCACCAATCTCTACATCCCCAACATTCCGACAGGCAGCAAGAAGTGCCCCTAATGTGATTGCATCAGGCTTTTCTGGCATCTTCTTGACAAAATCCCATGCTTCATGCAAATATCCCGCACGTGCTAAAAGATCAACCATGCAAGAATAATGCTCAACTTTTGGCGCAACTCCAAAAACTTGCTCCATTAAATTAAACCAGTGAAGACCCTCATCAACAAATCCAACATGCACACAGGCAGAAAGGACTCCAACAAATGTGATGTCATCTGGCCGGACTGCACTGTCCTCTGACATGCGCTTAAATAGGGATATGGCTTCCAAGGCCCGTCCATTAAGCGCAAAGCCAGAGATCATGGCATTCCAAGAGACCACATTTTTCTGGGGCATATCTTCAAAGATTTTGATTGCATTATCTAGGCTTCCACACTTGGCATACATATCAATTAATCCAGTGGCAACATAGATATCATGGTTTAAGCCATTTTGTGATGCATATGCATCCACCCACCTCCCAATGTCAAGGGCCCCTACAGAGGCACTTGCTGACAACACTTCTATCAATGTAATGTTATTTGGGTTCACACCGGCCACTCTCATGTCATGGAATAGCATGATTGCTTTATCTGACGCTCCATTTTGTGCATATCTGTTTGGATCTGATGTAGTAAAAAGTTAGTATAAGTCAAAACAAAATTAACAGTTGTTCAACTAAAGAACATTATTATTCATTTTTGCTTTCCTGATTCAGTATTGCAGATTCTGCAAGGTTGGACAACTAAGGGCCTGAGCAGGAGCAAATTATTATGGAATACTTTCGGCACTGCCATCATTTGGGCAATTTGGAAGGAAAGAAACCATCGTATTTTTTTATAACAAATAATCTGATAAGGGAATTAAGAGTAATCTTATAGGTTTGCTTTGTTCTTGGTTGGATGTACAAAGAATATTCAGGGTGTCCAACTTTGTTCTTTTTTGCAAGTTGGACCTTTCTTTGGATAACTTTTCTATGCTTTCTTTTTGTATATTCCCAATGTACATGTTATCATTGTACATGGGTTGATGGACTGATGTACTCTCTTTTTGCATACTAAGATAATATAATACAGTACTTTACCTTCTTCAAAAAAAAAGGATAAAGCCTCCATTTTCAGACTGAAAATATGATTTCTTCAATAAATAGATGATAGATAATTAATTAATAATTGATAATCCTTCTGGTTTTCTTGGTCAAATAATCCTTCGGGTTTTCTTGGTCAAATAATCCTTCGGGTTTTCTTGGTCAAATAATCCTTCGGGTTTTTTTGGTCAAATAATCATTCGGTTAAAATTAAATAGAATCATCTTTTTAATACTAAAAAATCATTGAGGAGTCAAATATGAATTGCTTACCCGGTGATCATCGCATTCCACACGACTAGATTTTTCTTCGGCATTTTATCAAAAACTCTCTTTGCTGAATCCAAGTCCCCGCATTTCCCATACATACCAATCAATGAGGAGCCCACGAAAGAACTCAATTCAAACTTATTTGCATCCACAAATTCCTCGACCCACTTCCCCAAACTCAAATCCCCCAAATTCCCACACGCCCCAAGAACACTGGTAAGAGTCTTCTCATCTGGCTCAAAACCTGCTACCCTCATCCTCCTAAACAACCCCACCGCCTCACGTGCAAAACCCATTTTCGAGTACCCCGTTATCATCGAATTCCAAGAAACCAAGTCCCTATCCGTAATTTGGTCGAACACCATTCGTGCGGAACTCAACTCACCGCACATGGAGTACATAGTAATCAACGAATGCCTCACGTGAGAATCAGAGTTCAACCCAGTTTTGAAAATCATTGAGTGCGCGATCCTGCCTTGATCCAATGCCGCGAGGTTAGCACAAGACTTCAGTAGAAACGGGAAGGTAAATTTATTTGGCATTTGGTCCGAAAACTTCATGCGGTAATAGAACTCCAGTGCGAGAGAGAACTTGTGCCATGTATTTGTTAAGCCACGAATCATGACGTTGAAAGAGAAGTCATTGGGCTCGGGGATTTGAGAGAAGAGGAGAGAAGCGTACTCAAAATCTTTGAGGTCTACTAGTTTTGGGAGGAGGAAGTTGTCTAGCTGTATGGAGTTGATAAGCATTTGAGAGTGGATTTGTTTTAAGGATTCGGGGGAATCCGATTGCTTCAAAAGAGTTAAGAGTTTGTCTGCGAGAGATTCTTGTGGGTGGTATGGAGATAGATGGGATTTTTCGAACGTGAGAGACCGGGAAAAGGGATATAACATGGGTTTTGATTTAATGACCATTGTTTCAGGCCTAGCTTAGCTCGCTATCTTCCTCAGTTCTCAATTCTCGTAAACGTTGTCATTTCAAGTAGTCATGATTCATCCGAACGAGAGTCGGAAGATTCGGAACTGTGTAAGTGCAGCTAAGTGAAGGAGGTCAAGAATCAAGATATGGTCATATGGATATTAGTACGTAGACCTGTTCATAGGCCGGGCCGGGTCGGGCCGGGATTAGAAAATGTTCACGCCCGAGCCCGAAACTCCATCTGTATATAAAATGTCCTATTTTTTGTGTAATTTAATAAATTAATATTGTTTTTTGTGTAATTTTATTTACTATTAATTAATTGATAAATTAATAATTAAAAGTATTCAAAGTTATTATTAATATTTGAAATTTTAATAATTGTATTTTTCATTTAATGTTGATTTACAGAAAATAATTATTGTTAATTTAATAATAATATATCTAATTTTTTTGTCATTTATAGTAATTTTAATAACTTTTATTATTTTTAAATGAATTTTTGATTGACTTTAAATAAATAAAAATAATTACAAAAGCTAATATTTTTATTAATTTTACTAACAATTAACAATTATATAAGAATGGCAATGGAGCGGGTTTAGGGTAGGGCATCCCATCCCTGTCCCCACCTCTTACTCAAAATACTCTACCCCATCCCCGCCTCACCCCTAGTGTTAAGTGGATTCAAGGTAAGGCACCGCACCCTCTCCCCATTAGGAATGGGGAATCCTCGAATTTCCCCGCCTTGTCCTCCGTGTCAGGTGAGTTTAGGGCAAGGCACACACTCCTCATCAAGGATGGGAATCCTTGAATTTTCCCTATCCCATCCCTAATGTTGAGTGGATTCAAGACAAGACACCAACTCCCCGTCAACCCAATATTCAATTGGAAGATAAAAATGATCAAAATGATATATTGAGTATCAACCACATGGTAATGGTGTTCAGTAATGTGGAATGACCATGAAATATTGTGTTTTGGAACACACAACAATGATTTAGGGTGTTCAATTGGCCTGTGGCATAGACCAATCCACGCTATCTCGTGGATCAGTCCACACCATGAGCCAATTTTTCGTCCACAGATTTTTCTCGTGGATCAAAACACACTACCCCGTTGTATTCTATGAAGACTGATTCCATGCTTTGCATCTTATGTTTACTCTAACGTAAATCCATTTTTTTACCGTTATAACCTATCATACAGAGCACTACCATTGCCCCTTGCTTCTCCGCTCACCATTGTAACTTTAACCACCGCTGCTTGCTTCTCCCATTCTCCGATTCTCCGATTCTCTTCGTTCATTGAACTATAAAAAGCAATTAACAAATATTCTTTGCATTCGTAGAATGAAAAACGAAAGTCAGCAGCCCCATGGTGTTTTGGGTCCTTGATCTGAACTTAATATTGGGCTTTTGCAATTTACCTTTTGCCCCAACATCCAAAACCTACAAAAGGCTGGCACATAGTGTGATTATGGAAAGAGGCAGCCTTACTTTGTCAAGCATTTTACCTAAGGGTGTCAATGGACCGGTCCAAAATCATGGATTGGACGGACCAACAAGATATATTGGATTGGATCAATCCGGTCCAAAATATTAATTAGATTGGATTGGACGTGGTTCATCCACAACAAATTTATACTGGATTGAGTTGGATAAATCCAATATTTGGTCCATTGATATAAGACAAGAATACATGTGTCAATGGACTTGGGTTTGGGTTAAAACCAATCTAAATCAAAATGAATTTGAACAGATTGGATGGTCCAGACATTGAATTGGACCGGTCCAAAACATTCATTGGATTGGATTGGACCTTATCCATTTATAATGGACTCACAATGGACCGGATCAGATTGGACCAAATCCAATCCAATTGACACCCTTAATTTTACCTAGAAATCAAAACCCATCTTCACACTTACTCTGTGGGAGAAAGGGGCAACCTTCTATGACAAATGGGACCCGTTTATTTATCTTTACATGTTTTGTTTTGAATTTTCATGGGTAGTTTCAATATGAATTAAATGTTTAAGTCTTAGAGAGCCTTTGCCACAGCCATGGCTATGTATACAAACCATTTAACTCAGGTTTAGGTTTCCAAGTAAAATGCATGTGATAGATATCTGACATAGTATTCCTCATGTTAATTCCCTTTCATTATTGGTTCTCGCATACTAATCTTGGTGAAAATTTGATCACTAACTCTGTCTCTCCCTCTATTGGGACCCTATCAGTTCAACTATAAAGATGCAACCAACACTCCCAATTCTCTAGCTTAGTCGAGCTCGGGAATGTAATCTGAATTGAAATTTTCTGTTAAGGAGCTTCACTTTCTTAAAGGTTTTAAGAATTTGGTATCTAATTGAAGTTTTCTTTGAGGATGAATAAACTATGAAGGTCCACAATATACAATTAAAGTTAGAGTCTTGCATAATCTGAATTTTAGTTAGATTGGCTGTAATTTATAGTGTTTGATCTTGAGGTACAATTTGCTGTATGTAAGACTGTATACAATTTGATGTATGCAACAAATTACATGCTCCTTCTTTGAGGTTGGACAAACAATCATGATACTTATGCATTAGCTTAAATTTCTTGCAAGTTATATGTTTCTAATCCTCTGTGGCATGTTTTGTGAATATTATTTAGGTTCTTTTTATGCCTTCCATTTTCAACTTTTATTGGTATGATTTGGAAGCCGATACCCCTTGTCATTTGCTGGACCCTGTGGAAAGAACACAATCAGAGAGTGTTCAGTGAAAAAATCTCTCCCTGGAAGCAATAATAGGAAGAATGGAGAGATCCTACTTTTTGTGGGTGAGCATTTACAAGGAGTCCACATGCTTACAGTTTCCCTCTCTATCAGGTCATTGGCATCAAATCTTATGGGATGATTCATTCAATGTATTATGTGGTCTTTGTATGTTGCCTGTTAGTTGTTTGTGTTAGATGTTTTCTATTTTTCTTGTTGGTGTCTTATGTGGTCTTCGTATGTTGCCTGAGGAATGCTTTTCCTCCTTTTGATATATATAATTACCACCACTTCTCAAAAAAAAAAAAAAATCTCTACTTGGTGAATATAGAGCTAATAGTTTAGGAAACAAAGAAGAGAAATCTATTTGGATAACAACTACATTGAATTTCATTATGTTTGTAAATTAACTATGTATGAATAGCTACTAGATTTTTTGGTCGAGATTGCATCTTTGTTCATGCTTTGGTGGTGCATGTTATTTGGGGTAAGGTAGGTTAATAAGCATCTTATTTTTGGTAAGAAAAAGCATTTGATTAAAATCGAATTTCTGTTTAAATAATGTTAATTTATTAATAGTGAACTCTTCACTTCTTCACCTTTTCACCTCTTCACCTCTTCACTAATATTACTACTTAGTTCTAATTAATATTAATATCATTATTTGTTATTAAATATTAATGTTCTTACCAATTTATTAATACTTTTCTATTGTGTATATTACTAAAAATAAAATATTATTAGTGATTAATGGCATAGGTCATCTCAAATGTTGTAGCTGAAATGCAATGAATCAAACACAAGGTGTGGAGTGAAATGCACCACACCTTGTAAAACACTTGTGGAGGTGTGGTGTGGTTCGGTCCACACATTTTTGTCCATGGTGCAAAACTACTACCATGTTGAGGTATGGTGTGTTTTCACCCACAACACACTACTTATGGTGTGGATGAAAACACACCACCCAATTTCTTACCTACACGCTACAGAACACCCCCTAAAATTGTCTTTAATTTTCAAAAATGTAATTTTATGAAAATTTTAGAAAATTTATTACATTTGTGTAATTTTTAAATTTTTATTAAATAATTTATTTTCTTTTTAAGTGGTTTACTTATAGAATTACACTGATTTATCTTATATTTTCTAATATAAAATAATAAAGATTTTCTTTTTTTTTCCAATATTATACTAATTTATCTTAATAATTTGTGTAATTATTTGTTCAAATTATAATTTTCCCTTTCCCATATTCATTTATCTTTAATAATTTTCAATAATTTACAATGAAAATTACATAATTTTTCGATAGTTTTCCAAAATCTATCAAATGTAAAAAAATTCATATTTCCAAAATATTCCAATAATTTTCAATAATTATTTAATACATTTTAAATAAACTTTCAAAAATTTTATATCTTTTTATTTCCAAAATGTCATTTTACGAAAATGTACATTTATGATTTATTGAAAATTTTATTACATTTGTGTAATTATGGAGATTTTTTGAAAATTATTTTAAATTGTTATTAAATATTTATTTTTATTAGGTAGTTTACTAACAAAATTAAACTAATTTATCTTTTAATTTCCAATATAAATTATTAGTAGTTTCATTTTCCAATATTATAATATTTTGTTCATCTGCATTCGGTTATTAACTATAATAATAACAATAACTAAAACTTTATACTTTTGATAATTGTTAAATATAATTCTCAATTTTATATTAATTAAAGAGTTTTCAATTTATATAAAATGTTGTTAATTAATATGAATATAACAATATTTACCCAAAATACTTTAAAAAGTCATGATGAGTTAATTAATAACAATATTTATTAATTTTTGGTAATTTATTAAATTTTGGTAATAACACTGTTTAATAGTCATTCATTATGGGTTAGGTTAAATATTAACCATATTTAATTATTTATTAATTAATATGAATATTTTAAATGAGGGAGAGTGGATATAAATTGGGGGAGAGAGATTTTAGGAATATTTTTAGGTAATTGAGTTGGAAATGGTGACATGTCTTAACGGGAGTGGTGGGAAGAGGAGGGGAGAGAGAATTAAGGATAATGCATGGTGGGGGTAATGGAGCAAGGCATGAATCTTTTATATATATATATATAAGTTACTAATGAGAAAGAACTTTTTTCCTTATTTTGGATGACGAAGGATACGGGAAGATGAAGGAACTTTTAGACAAAAACCCCAACTTGAACGATCCCTCATCTCGTGTTGTAACATTTTCCATTTGAAGTAAGAAACAAAGAAACGTTTAAAAAAATAGAAAAGTAATTTTCTCTTTGACCTCGTTATTTTCCACACCAATAAAAGATGAGAA